TTATGAATTAGTCTTACCTCCAGGACTGTCAGGGGTGCACCCAGTATTTCATGTGTCTATGCTGAAAAGGTACCATGGGGATGGAAATTACATTATTCGTTGGGATTCAGTTCTTCTTGATGAGAATTTGTCTTATGAGGAGGAGCCTGTTGCCATTCTGGATAGAGAAATCCATAAGTTGAGATCAAGGGAGATTGCATCCATCAAAGTTCAATGGAAGAATCGACCAGTTGAAGAGTCCACTTGGGAGAAGGAGGCTGATATGCAAGAAAAATACCCGCACCTGTTTACAGATTCAGGTACTCCTCTTCACCCTTGTTTTCTTCTTGTGATCATTTGAGGACGAACGATGGGTAAATTGGTATCTATTGTAATGACCTGTTTAGTCATTTTGAGCAGTAGAGTTTATTCTGGTAATAACTGTCTAAGTCGATGGATCCCACGACGGACCGTCAAGAGGGTCTCGTTCCAAAACACTTAGAATCTGAAAATTTGGGTACTGAGATCGACTCTCTGAACATCACGACGGAATGGCAGGACGGACCGTCGTTGGCACAACGGACAGTCACAAACCTTTCCACAGGATTGAGTTTCTGAACTCTGTGACGACTCTGTAGGACGGACCGTCACAGGCTGCGTAACCCTGACTGGGTCAGATTTCTATTGAATGTTTTAAGGGGCGTTTTGGACTATTCCTTCTTATAATTATAAAGTTAGTGGTTTAATGTTAATAATTCAATTATTTGGGGGTTAAAGGAGACAACCTTGGAATAAATAGTGGGTTACTTTTACCATATTTTATACTTAATTATATGATAATTAGGGTAAAAGAGAAAGTGTTTGAATAAAAAAAATAGAAAGAACAGAGAGAAAGAGAGAAACGATCGAGAGAAGGAGAAAACGAAGAGGAAAGCAAAGACTTTGAGGAATAGCTTGCTTGATCACGAATTCTTCGGTGGAGGTAGGTTATGGTTTATGCTATTTCATAGTAAACTCTTAACAGCGAATGATATGTATTGGGTAGTATATGCTTAATTGTGTGCTTGCATGATGTGATTATATAATTGTGATGAATTAGCATGATGAGACCGTTGCATCTCAAACCTTAAAAACCTCTTTGTTAATGATGATGCCTTGGTATAAAATAAGGCTTGATGAACTAAAAGAATGAGGTTAGTGTATCGGGTGTCACGTTTCGATACCAGGATAGTAGTAGTGGATCGGGTGTCACGTTCCGACACCAGGATAGTAGTAGTGGATCGGGTGTCACGTTCCGACACCAGGATAGTAGTAGTGGATCGGGTGTCACGTTCCGACACCAGGATAGTAGTATTGGATCGGGTGTCACGTTCCGACACCAGGATAGTAGAGGATCGGGTGTCACGTTCTGACACCAGGATAGTAAAAGAATGAATCTTGTAATATGTTAATATACTCAGTCTAAAGAACCTGTTTCCCAAATGAGTATGATGTGGAGGCTTGAGTCCTCATAGATGTGCTTGGTGTTATGGCAAAAAGGGTTATGGTAAATGTTGTTGTCACCTGTTAAGAATATTAGTTGATTTTATGTTATTATCTGAAATATATTGTTTTCTATTTTGAGTTGGCCGATGATACCTACTCAGTACTTGTGTTTTGTACTGACCCCTACTTGTATGTTTCTTTTCTTGTTATTTGTGGAGTGCAGCAAACGTACCATCGACTTCGACTCAACCGCAACTCTAGCCAGACTTCAGCATAATCAGATTTCAGGGTGAGCTATTGTTCCTAGCTCGGACTGGATTCTTTCTTTCACGTCTTGATGTCTTGAAGTTCGGACATGGACCATCTCTTTTACTTATTTTAGTTTCTTAGATACTCTTAGATTTAGTAATTTGAGGATAGATGTTCTTCTGATGATGACTTCCAGGTTTTGGGGATAGTAATTGATAAATTTTAGAAGTTATTTAATTGATTTTGTTAATGAGTTTTAAGTCTTCCGCATTATTTTCGGTTTATTATGGTTGGAATGTTGGGATTAGATTGGTTGGTTCGCTCACATAGGAGAGTAAATGTGGGTGCCACTCGCGGCTCGTTTTGGATCGTGACACTTTCCCACTAACGATAGGTTAGGAGATAGTGCTTATAATTTATTTCAAAAATAAACAATGGCATAATCAATCCAAAATTTTAAAGGAAGATTGAATAATGACTTTTAAGAAAATTATATTGCAAATCTTTGTAAGTAAGAAAAAAAAAACTAGTAGAACATTAAGTTGGTAAATTTATTAAATACAAAGGTTTTGATATAAAATATTCAAAAGCCAAGTAGTTTGTTAAATGCATGAAATGATTTTAATTTATTATCACTATTATTTTAAGAAAACAACATATTGCATCACAAGTGCGAAATCTTCAAGAGGACAAATAAGATTACTAATTAATAATATTAACTAATTTTAGGGGGAGGGCACAAATATGCACAACAAATTTTATTCTTTATTATGGATATGCTAAAAGTTTATTTACAAGCCTATAAACATGATTTCTAGGTGTTAAAAAAACGGATTAACACATATATGCATGATTTGTAAATCTAAATGATATGAACATTTTAATCCTTAGGCATAATTTCTATGTGATAAGACAAATGAAAAGTTATAACATTTTTTAAACATCTAATCAGCCTACTAAATTATTATGATTTTGATTTTAACATTCAAAAAAAAAAGTTAATGAAATCTAGTTATTTTTTGAAACAAAAGCATCAAGCACGTTGAAGATTGGTTATTACGACACCTACAAACAATAATTCTAGGTGGTTAAAGATAAACCTATAGGCATGATTTCTAACTTTTTAAAAATTACAATGAACAATTAGCATGTAAATCCCCTTCCCCTAGGCGATCCCCCAAATAAATTTATATATGAGAGCTTTAGAGTTATACAAATGTTACAACATTCAAATAAATAAAATAAGAAAAGAAATATAGATTCAAATAAACAAATAAATCTTTCTTCATGGCTAATCTTCAACTTGAACTTCAAGTTTGAAACCTGTCAAAGCAATCAAATAACTACACAAGTAATCACATTTATTAGTCAAGATGAGACACATATGCAATTATTTAACGACGAATTCTACATATAGAAAAGAACAGACAATAGCTTACACAAATGTGTGAATATAAAGATAGTGCAAATGTTAAGAATACTAACCAATTAAGCAAAACAAATTGATTCAACTTTTACTCTTCAAATACATTAAGATTCCGGTAAACATTCAAGTGTTCTTCTTCGCACTTTGAGTGTGCACAAATAGACACTTAAATTTGTATAAAGTTGAACATATAGACACATAAATTCTACGTGTCATAATAGACGTAGAACACCACGCACGACACAAATTTTCATGTAGGATGTCACGTAGGACGTTTGTATCTATTTGTTTAATTTTATACAAGTTTAAGTGCACACCCAAAGTTGGAGGGCATAAATATAGGCATATCACATATATTGGACCCTAAACTTGACTTCAAATTTTAACTTTGACATCTAACATTCATAATGCACAAACAGACACTTTAACTATCCAACTTTTAAATAAATAAACATACGAGTACTACATGGCACAATACACGTACGACACCACGTAGGACAAAAAATGACATGTAGGACATGTGTGTCTATTTGTTCAACTTTATACAAGTCTAAGTGTCTACTTGTGCACACCCAAAGTTGAAGGGCATAAATGTGATTCGAAGTCAAGTTAAAGGGCACATTTATGTATTATGACATAAATATAATAGGGTAAATGAAAAATCACATACTTTTAAGAAAAAATTACCATTTGTACCTTATAAGTTTATAATTATAAAAATCCCTGAAACTGATACAATATATAAGTGCTGACACAGTAATCTTATTCGCGAGATACATTAATCGTTAAGTAAGATATATTACATTTTATACACGATATGCTAATATGATGTGCGAGATACATTAATTTGGTGCGCGAGATGCATTAATTTGATGCGCTGATACATTAATCTGATGTGTGGAAATAAGAAATTTTGAGAATTTGTAGAACTAATAGGGGATAATGGTAATAAGAAAATTTAAAGATGAGATTTTTGTCATTTATCTAATATAAAATGAGGTCAAGTTAAAAATATATATATGTATTATGCCTTTTGTATATACGTATTGTAATCGAAGAAACTGAATTATTGTGACTTCTTTTTTCCCATTTTTGTTTTATCAGAACACTAATTGAAAATAGTGGCATTCCGTGGTTTAAAAACCGGATTGCTCTTTGTAATCTTTTTAGTAGATGAAGCGAATACTTGAAAATCTAAGAGGAGTTAATAGTTATGAATTTGCGGAATATTTGAGATGCATGATAATATAATATTATTTATATAAGTATGATTAGAGTTTAAAGTTAAGTAATCTTCTAAAATTCTAATTGAAAATGAACACGTTTTATTAAGTCTGATTAGAATTGAACATGTTTTGTAAAATTTCACAAAATTTCAATATCTACGCATTCATAAAACAATGATGTTAGGTTTGACTTATTGTTAATTGTTGATTGGTTGAATCTTTTTGCTCAATTTTGTGGTTTATCTTTTCTACTATTTGAGTTACTATTGTTTCATATTATATTTATTTAGCAAACTTTCAAGAATATATAGTATTGTTTTCTTTTCGTAAAAAAGATAAAATCGATAATTTCCACTTAATTAAACCTGTTTATAATAATTCAATTTTCTAATTATAATTTAATCGTCTTTAATTTATTTTAAGAAAGAAATAGAATAGGTTGTCTTTGAGCTTGAAACGTAAAACAATCACTAATATTTTTACTTCTTCTAGCTTGTTCACATTGCGTGAATTGCTTCAAAATAATTGAATTAAATAGAAAAAATACATAAATATTTCCTAGACTATGATCGAAATTTTAGAGACACGGTATTTTTGAAATTTCGGTTTTCCCAATTAAATAGGCTGTCTAGCTAATGAAATTCTATTTTGCCTCTTGATTGGCCCATTATTAGTTGTCTCTCTGCCTCAATAATGGCCTTATTCTCTCCAAAGTCAGAGCTTTTGTTCTTGTTCTTCTTCATCTTTTCTCTATCCTTCAATCTTAGCCATTCAAATAAATATGATGATGTTCATGATCTCCTTCCTTTTTACAATCTTCCAAAGGGTCTTCTCCCAAACAATGTGAAATCATACACTGTTTCCACCAAAGACGGTTCTTTTACTGTACAACTCACACATCCATGTTATGTACAGTTTCAAGATCAGCTTGTTTACTACCAAAAAGATATTAAAGGGAAGTTGAGTTATGGATCTGTCTCTGATGTCACTGGAATACAAGCAAAGAAGTTGTTTGTATGGGTATCTGTAACTGGGATTAGTGTTGATGATCAGTCTCAGATGATTGAATTTCATGTTGGATTTTTATCTGAAAAATTACCAGCTAAGGAGTTTGAGAATATTCCTACTTGTACTAATAAGATTAAGGGTTGCCAACACTCTGCCTTTGCTTCAATATGACCAGGTCAACTTCTAATCTCTTTAACTAGTACTATTTATAATGTGTAGATCCTGAGTCGGGATTTTCGCTATAATATGAAAACTTAGGACAAAATATCTAATTTATATACCTGAAAAGTAATAGAATCCTTGCTCAGTGTAAAACCTAACAACTGTTTGTCTCTATTCTTAGAGTCAAACTATAAAAACTATAAAAACTTTTTGATGGATATTTTAAGATGCATTTTTGTCATGATATTGATATGCAAAATAGTGAAATTTATAGTATTTTTCATATACTTTTTGAATATTTAAATTTTTTGTTTGAAATATCGCAATATGACAAATAAAAATGGACGAAGAGAGTAGTAATGTTTGGATGATCCTTTCAACCCTACCTTGCTCTGTCTGTCTCCAGTGCCAACTTTATATAAATTGCATAATTCTTCATATATAGTTTTGTTCTGAACTGCAGAAAAAGGAATTGTCTTTCTCCCAAAAATAACTCCTTTACCATTGAATTCACACAGCCATGTTATATATAGTTGAAAGATTGGATCTAAGGAGGAGTACTCATGGGGTACTGCAAACAATTGATGTGTGGGTTAGATGTAGTCGCGAGTTTGAACCTTGTCACAAACAAAAATCTTGTATTTAAGAGGAGAAGGGTAGAGGGATGATGGCCCATTGGGATTTCTCGCTTATTGAATATCATCTTGTTTACTATGAAAAGAATGTTAAATTTAAATTGGGTTATGGAGAGGTTACTTAATTATGTCTCTGGAATTCAGGCTATAGTAGGTTACCACAATAGATTAGCTAAATGGCATAAACTGACAGAGATGATATGGTTGTGCAATCACATCTCATCAAGAACTTATAAGAATACATATTCAGGCTAAATTGGACATATTTGTAGCTAATAATGAAACGACAAAAAATGCAAGAGTAATGATCAACTTGTTAGTGCTAAGTTAGAACTTTGGGTTACAAACAGTAGATCGCAGATCTAAAATATTGGGATATATGTATTTGTTGCTAGTCACTAGATGGTGCTTTCAAAGTAAGTAATATATTTCTTGTATATATTGATCATTGTTTCTGCAGCACGTCATTGTGAACAGTAGAATGGAAGCGTTCATTTGCAGTGACAATTAAGTTGTATATCTGTAATAAGATATGGATTTCCCGATCATAAGGAAATGCTGTCATTGTTTTATCTTATCACCCCTTTCTCGTTTGAGTATACAACACATAAGAATTTGATGCTGTCGACAACTTTTCTTCTCTGGTATAAGCTTTTCTTTTTTCATTTAGTATGAAATGTATTCTAAGATTATGTAGAATGAGGTTGCTGATCCATTTAATCGTGTTGCAGGACAAATGGAGCTCTGAGGTACTGTTATGAGTCTTGTGAAGAATGAAGTTGACTTGTCTTGATAAATAGTCGGTATTTGGAGTCTATGAAATTCTTCCTTAATAGAAACAGAAGAAGGGACTTCTATCTTTCGTGGCTGTTTTTCTTGGTTCAGTATTTCCTTCTCATTTCTCACACATCTATGAACAAACGAAATAGGACATTTCGATTTATAATAATCTTTTGATCACTGATCACAAATCTATAAACAAATCGCTTAGGGCTGAACATAATTTTCTGTGGTGACTAAAATGGTTTTAGTCATTGATTATTGAACATATTTTTCTGGCAGAAATAGGTCTCCCACACCAAGAGGCATCTGTGATGGATGCAACCCTTCCACCTCAACTAGAGGTCTCGGGTTTTAGTTAAAAAAAAAAAAAGGAAATATGTATTCATTCAGTAAATAGGCAACTCTCTATCAAGAATGGGAGCCAGAGGCAATATGTCTGTTCCAAAAACTAAAACTAAATAAAAGAGAAATCCTCTCCAAGACGTGCCAATTTCAAAGCCCCTTTTGCAATTGGTGATATAAAAGAAGCTGGCCGTTCCTCATCACTGCGTTTAACGATCTCTCATCACTCTAGTTTTCCGGAGTTAAAAAAGCTTGAAATAAGAGAAAAACATAGATTGAAATGACAGAAAAACTAAATGTTTTTTCATCCATGCATATGCTTGTATTACATCTGATCAAACTTTAATGATTCATCTTTGTAGGTACACACAATATATCTTCAATCATCTTGACCTCGACAAATAAGTCTTTCACGTGCCGAGAGGACAAGTTTCCAATGAACTGATTAAGAAAAAATGTAGCACACTGATAACAAAAATTTCTCATATCCAATTGTTTCAGAAAGTTTAGAAAAAGGATGTGAGCTCTTGCTCATAAATTCATTAAAAGTTTCGCACAAATCACTAAGAGTTGAAATTAATTCAAATACCTGACTTATTGCTGAAGATCCTTCAACTAGCAGAGGTCCTCCTCCATCTTTTGTTTGCAAGCCTGAATGAACAGGAACATTCACTGAGAAAGAGATGCAAGCCTGAATGAACGGAACATCTTTTGTTTGCAAGCCTGAATGAACGGAACATTCACTGAGAAAGGGATGCAAGCCTGAATGAACGAACATCTTTTATTTGCAAGCCTGAATGAACGGAACATTCACTGAGAAAGGGAATCAGATTCAAGTAATTGGAAAAAGCATGATGATGTATTGTAACTTTGAACACGACAAGAGCATACCAGATAATAGTCAAGGAGATGAATTTCTATCCCAATCTGGAGGCTGTATTGTAACTTTGAACGCATCATTTGCCATTTCATCATGCTGAATTGCTTGAATTTCCTCGGCTGAATGAGCAACATCCCAGCTACACCAGTTTACTTCAATGCTTTTCAATGATACAGCATCATCAAAATGAGAAGGGATTTTCTCAAGACACTTACATTTGGTTAAAACCAAACGTTCAAGCAAAGGAAAAGCATCCTCGGAGACAGACCACCGTGTAATGTTGAGGTCCCCCAGTTCTAAGTATTTGAGTTCACGGAACTCTGAGTCATTCACTTCCCATTCATCCCCTTCAAAGGCTCTGAGAAGTAACTTTAGAATCTTTAAGTTTGGAAGCTCTCCTATACTCAGGATTTGACTCCATGGTAGACGAAACTTTGACAGAGTCAGTTCCCTAAGTCTTGAGGGAAAGCTAAAGACATGAGGAAGTTTAGCTGGATAACTGTTGGAGACAATCTTGAGGGATTCAAGGTGACTTAGAATGTCTAATCTCGGAAAAGGAACACACTTTCCTTTCACTTTCTCTGAATAACCAAATGTACCTGAAAATATGCAACTCAGCTTTCTCAATTTTGGCATCTTTCTCAACAGCATCTCTGTATCTTCACCGTAAACAAGATGTGGCGTGGAAAAGGTTTCCAAATTATCTAACTGAGAGTCCGCAAGTGATTCGCCCATGTTCTCATGCAAACTAAATGAAGCACGATGAGTTACATGTATATTCCTCATTTTAACCATCTTTAGAAGTGAACTAGGTAGTATCACCTCTCCTCCCAATCCTCTTATCACAAAAGTTTCAAGATTCCAAAGATTAGCTATACATGAAGGAATTGAATTTCCACCAGTTTTAGCAGCAAAATACTTCAAATGAATTAGAAATTGTATTTCACTGGGAAAAGTACCACCAATGTTGACGGATTCCAAATCCAACACCTTAACAAGTTTGAAGCTGTTAAAGATGAAAGAGACATCATGCGGCCATAACAAGTTATCTGAATCAATCACATTGAAAAGCAAAGAGCGAACATTTGAGCGAGATGGCTGCCACAGATCAATCTGATCCTCAGAAGAATGAACAAACAACCGGTAATCCATACACATTTCAGGAAATGAATCCTCTCCACTGAATCTGTTCAAAGAAAAAATAATGAAAATGAGAGTTGATATAAACAATAATACGATAAAATCAGTATAGTTCTTTATACCCATTGATATGAAGAAGGAAATTCTCCTGTTTGGACTTCTCCAAGCAGAACTTATGCAACAGATCATGAACACGACATGTTTTGAGCTTTCCATTGGGTCTCTTCTCCACGCCCATGACTAAATTTCTACTAATAAGATCTTCCAAGAGACATTCTGCGGTGTTGAATGCCTTGAATCGGACCCGCTACAAACAGAAAGGACGGTATACAATGTTGTTGTATTGGGCCCTTAATTTTCTGTTGATTCTGTATGTTGGGCCCAAGCCTGTTAGGGCGTAGCTTAGCACTATATATAGACGCTATGGGAAACCCTATTCTGTAACTCTGTTTTTGCCTCTCCATAATAAAACTGCTCCCTCTCTTCCCGTGGACGTAGCCAACAAATTGGTGAACCACGTAAATCTGTTGTCTTGTTTTTCGCGTTTATATTTTCTCGTATTATCTCAAATTCCGCACAACAAATTGGTATCAGAGCCTCTCGGTTAATCGGTGTTCTTGGAGAATTCGAGATGTCTGCTTTGAACGTGAAAATCAACAAATTCACAGGGAGGAATAGTTTCAGTTTATGGCAGATCAAGATGCGGGCCTTGTTGAAACAGCAAGGCTTCTGGGCGCCGTTGTCGAAAGACAAGAACGCCGTCGTTACTCCTGAGATGGCGATTCTGGAGGAAAAGGCGCACTCGACGATCATGCTGTGTCTCGCGGATGACGTCATCACGGAGGTCTCGGATGAAGAGACTGCTGCTGGTCTGTGGTTGAAGCTGGAGAGTTTGTACATGACAAAATCTCTAACCAACAAGCTGCTTCTGAAACAACGTCTATTCGGTTTACGAATGGCTGAAGGTACACAACTCAGGGAACACTTAGAGCAATTGAATACTTTGTTATTAGAATTGCGTAATATCGATGTGAAGATCGAGGATGAAGATGCTGCCCTGATTCTGTTAGTATCTCTCCCAATGTCGTTTGAGAATTTTGTTCAATCGTTCATTGTTGGGAAAGATACTGTGTCACTGGAAGAAGTCAGATCAGCCCTTCATAGCAGGGAATTACGGCATAAGGCTAACGGCACAAGTACGGACATACAGCCTTCCGGTCTGTTCACCAGTAGCGGAAAGGAAAGGAAAAACGGCGGAAAGAAAAATAAGCCGATGTCGAAGGGTGCAAAGCCGGATGATGTTTGTAATTACTACAAGGAGAAGGGACATTGGAAATTTGATTGTCCGAAGAAGAAGAAGCAATCGGAAAAACAATCAGTGTCTGCTGCTGTTGCTGAAGAAGACACCAATTCTGAAGAAGATATTGCCCTAGTTGCGGATGAGCACACTCATCATTCAGATGTGTGGGTTCTTGATTCTGGGGCATCCTATCACATCTGTCCTAGGAGAGAGTGGTTCACGACTTATGAGCAGGTAGACGGAGGCAGCATCTCGATGGCCAACAGTTCTGTCTGCAAGGTGGTTGGGACAGGCTCGATCAAGATAAGGACACATGACGGTAGCTTTTGCACATTGAACGAGGTCAGGCACGTTCCATTGATGACGAAAAATCTGATATCTCTCAGTCTTTTGGACAGCAAGGGATTCAGCTGGTCGGGAAAAGATGGAGTCTTGCGGGTCTGGAAGGGTTCAAATTTGATTCTGAAAGGTGTCATGCGTGGTACTTTGTATTTTCTACAAGGTTCCACGGTTACAGGTTCAGCCCATGTTGCATCGTCAGAATTTCACCAGAAGGATATGACTAAGTTATGGCACATGAGACTTGGTCATATGGGTGAAAGAGGGATGCAAATTCTGTCAAAGGAGGATTTACTTGCTGGTCATAAGGTTAAGAGCCTAGCGTTTTGTGAACATTGTGTTTTTGGAAAACTACATCGCAACAAGTTTCCAAAGGCCATTCATAGAACAAAAGGCACACTTGATTATATCCATTCTGATTGCTGGGGTCCATGCCGTGTTGAGTCTTTGGGAGGCTGCAGATTTTTTGTGTCCATTATTGATGACTACTCAAGGATGACTTGGGTGTACATGATGAAGCATAAAAGTGAAGCCTTCCAGAAGTTCAAGGAGTGGAAAATTTTGATGGAAAATCAAACAGGGAAGAAGATCAAGAGGTTGCGAACTGATAATGGGCTGGAATTCTGTTGGTCTGAATTTGATCAATTCTGTAAGGATGAAGGGATTGCTCGACATCGCACTGTCAGAAATACACCACAGCAGAACGGTGTAGCTGAGCGGATGAATCAAACACTTCTGGAGAGAGCAAGGTGCATGCTCTCTAATGCTGGGCTAGATAGAAGATTCTGGGCAGAAGCGGTTAGTACAGCTTGCTACTTGATTAACCGCGGACCACATACAGGCATACAGTGCAAGACACCTATGGAGATGTGGTTTGGAAAAGCTGCTGATTATTCAAATCTGAAAGCTTTTGGTTGTACGGCTTACTATCACGTCAGTGAAGGTAAGTTAGAACCAAGAGCTAAAAAGGGAGTATTTGTGGGCTACGGAGATGGAGTGAAAGGTTTCAGAATCTGGTCTCCAGCAGAAAAGAGGGTTATTATGAGCAGGAACGTTGTCTTTGATGAAAGTCCTCTGCTTAGAACCATTGTGAAGCCTACAACTACGTCAGAAATTAGGAGTCTTGACAAACAGGTGGAGTTTCAAGTCATTCAGAACGAGAGCGATTTAAAGGAACCTG